GGTCGGTGGCCAGATAGCCCTGGGGCACGGCGGAGAGAGCCCGGGGTCGGCGGCCAGACAGCCCCGGGGCACGGCGGAGCCTCACAGCAACCCAGCCGGAGAGATGAGCCCCAGAGACACTCCACCGCTTCGGACTTTCCAAGCTTGAAATGCCTCTGCTCATCACAAAATGGGGTTTGATTTCACCACGTACCACATTAACTTACCAGAGGTTCTATTGTACCGAGATCTTTTATTTTGTTGCCGCTTAGATTTAGATGCGTGAGGTTCGGACACTTTTCTGCCAACACTTCCAGTCCTCCTGAGATTCTGTTGTCACTTAGCTCGAGCTAAAAGGCACACAAACATCTTGAGTTTTTAGTGCAAACATGTACCACAAAGCTGTTTGGTCAGCTAAATTACATTTTTATACAAACAACTACTTTTCGCATGCAGTATAGTGCAAAGAGGGAAGGATATGGCATAGGGCATTTTATTTACCTTCTTAAGTTTGTTTAACTTTGGTAAGTTTGCAACTGAGGTTAAGCCTACGTTGATTGTACTTAAGAATTCCAGCTCTTCAAACTCATCTGTAAGGCCTTCGATTTTGCCTTCATATGACCTACAGTTGTCAAGAACGAGTTCTTTAACCTGGAAAAAGAACAATGCAGAAGGAATGTCAGACATTGTGCATGGAGGGTCAAGGTTTCACTCACAAGCAAAGGCATAGATCAGGCAAAAAATGAAAGGTATTCCACTGAACTGGCAAGTACGCGAAAGGTTATTTTCCGTGTCTGATGCCTCCTTTTGCTAGCACTGTTTTAGAAACACAGATATTTGGCTTTGCCTCCGCTGCCCACCTTTGTGTTGTTCTATAAACAATGTCAACGGTTTAAAGACACGAATCCTGGCTTAGCCAATTTGACTGTTAGAAGGATCATTGGTAAAGGAAAGCAATGATCATTCTAAAAAATATGAAAACAATCTATTTATTTTTAAACTAACCTCCAACTTTGACACTCTGTACAACTGGTGTGCTATTACAACACATCATCAGCTGTTAAAACAGCTCCTCTCTGCACGCAAAACTTGTTTGAGCTTTTCAAGCGTGGAGGGATCACTGCTCAGACACTCCTGAAGCCTGAAGTAGGTACTGCTGATCCTAAACCAGGCGTTGCCGGAGTCCACCCTCACCCCTCTTCCTTAGGTGGTACTTTAGGGGAAGATCTTCCCCACGGAGGGGGTTACAGGGGATGTACGTGTCAGATGATGCTGGCAGAGGAGGCTGGGGGAGCGTAGTGGCTGCAGTGCAGCCCTTATCTCCCTCGCCCCGCAGCAGCAGGGAGGCTCAAAGGGACAGCTGAAGATAATGTCCTCACAGGCCGAGCAGCACAGGCCCTGCCCTGTGTTTGGGCACAAACTGAAGCAGAGGAAGTTCCATCCGAACATGAGGAAGAACTTCTTCACTCTGAGGGTGATGGAGCCCTGGCCCAGGCTGCCCAGGGAGACTGTGGAGTCTCCTTCTCTGGAGATATTCCAGCCCCGCCTGGACAAGGTCCTCTACAACCTACTGCAGGTGACCCTGCTTCGGCAGGAGGGCGTGGGATTCTGTGATTCTGTGCCCGACAGCCACAGCCGGGCAGCCCCGGGGTGTGCACAACGAGTTACAGGCTGCAGGGTTTTGTCAGGGGTTTGGTTTGTTGGGGTTTTTTTCAAACAAAGCACCGCTCTTTTTGCAGGTGTCACCTCCAACGGACACCAAACAGCATCATCAATGCAAAAGAGCCCCTAAATACGTCCCACTCTGAACGAACCTGCTCCTTGTCACCCTAAGGGCAGGCCAGCCACGCGGGGTTGAGGCCCTCAGCACCCTGTCCCGTGCCCGAGGTTTGTTTCCAGGCTTGGAAAGGGAGGGGGTGCTGCTTTTTTGCTGAGGATGGGACCAAACAAGGCTGCGAGAACGGTGTATGCAGAAGCACGAAGCAACTGCTCAGTTCACACCAAGGGCAGTTAATATGCAAATATTTAATTTTCTTTTTTTTTTTTTATTACTGTAATCCTGCTGCACAGAGAAGAATCCTATGTAGTTTTACAGCTCCAAATAACATCCCTAAATTTCTAATTAAATCCCAGGCACTGAAGTCAATAGGGAAGTCAGCCCAAAGCAACACAAGAGCACAAGTGATTCATTGAGAGTAGGAGGATCAGCGTTAGACAGGAAATACATTTTCCAAGACTCTACAATTTTCCTAGAAGAATTATGATAGGGAATGACTACACAAAAGTCTTCCAGAAGCACTTTAGTCTGGATAGAAGAAGCCAAAGGCCAAGTCAAATGCTCCCAATGTCACATATACCTATTCCACTGGGGAGGGATGACCTCAAACCCCAAAAATAAACTACAAAAAAGCCCTCTTTGCTTTGAAATTTAGACAGCAGGAAAGCCATTTTAAAGGCAAAGATGTGTATCTTCTTACTGGAACATTATTTAAGTATCAGGAGCCTCCAGTGAGATCAATTCGGGGACAAACACACAGTTTTCTCAGTCATCTGCTTCACACACACACAAAAAAGTAAAATAAAAGCAGCTCCACCCCAAACGCAGACCACCCAGCAGCTCCATTGCCCCTATCTGTGTCCTTGCTCCCCAGCAGACGAGGCCCTGCCTGCCCTGTTATCTCCCCTGGCCAGCGAGGTGGCTCATCCGAGACGGCACCCACCTACGGACACGCTGCGGAGCAAGGAGGGAAAGCGAGAGCGTCGTGGTGCCCGCCGCGCTGCGTTGGTGCCTGGCTGGAGACCCCAGGGGCCTTTTTTTGCCTTCTCCTCCTTGCCAAGGAAGTTTTCAAGAGCACACATAGGAAGATGAAGCAAGGCAGGAGGGAGTTCAGGGAGGGAAAATGCCAGCAGCAGCAGCAGCCAGCAGAGTTCAGAGTCAGCTCTGGCTTTGAGCTACGCAGCAGACCAAAGGCACGGAGCGAAGCAGCACCTCAGCCTCCCACCGAGAAAAAATCAGCATCTGTCCTCAGCCCGGGAGGTGGGACAGCCCTTCATCCTCCCCAGGGCAGGACGGAGAAAGGGCAAACGGGGAAGTGGACAAAGCTTCCTCAGGGGTAGAGATTGCAGGGGGAGCTGGGAACAGCCACGGATGCAGGAGAAAAACCCTTTAACATGGCGGCAGAAGAGCCAACCAGCTTCTACTTTTAGTTTGCTCTTTTTAGCACAAGACTGCTGTTTTCTCCCTACCTCTCAGAAAACTTTGTTTCATACAGCGCTGCAACGCTCTCTTCTTTGCTGCACCCAGTACCAAGACACTGGGCAGAGGTACAACCCGAACAGCCCCACAGGGAAGCGACCGTGGAATAAAACCAGCCAGGTTTGCAAGCGGCAGACAGCTCGCTTGGACCGAAGAGCTCGTTTAGGAAACAGCAGAGCCCGGGCTCCTAACGCTCCAGAAGCACAACCGAGGCAGGGCAATTCCGGTGTTTACGTGGTCAGAGGTCTATGAACACACTGAATCGCTTCTGAACAAGCACGTCTCCACAAAACAAAATTCAAGTCAAAGCTAAGCTGGCTCTATGTCCAGCGGGCTCCTCATCTTTCTTGAACTGGGGAGCCCAGAACCGGACAGAGTACTCCAGGTGGGGCCTCACCAGGGCAGAGCAGAGGGGGAGGAGAACCTCCCTCGCCCTGCTGCCCACACTCCTCCTAATGCACCCCAGGATCCCATTGGCCTTCTTGGCACCCAGGGCACACTGCTGGCTCATGGTCACCCTGTCGTCCCCCAGCACTCCCAGTCCCTCTCAACAGAGCTGCTCTCCAGCAGGGGGTTACTCCGACATCATCCTCTGAAGGAATTGTGTCACACGGGACGCACTCGTTAACTGTCACAGCACATGTCACTAGCAGTCACATGCCAGCTCCTCGTTTTATTTCATGTTCCTGATTTCTGCGCTGTGTTCCTGTGCACTGCGTGGTGAGGAAGAACTTCTTCCCTCTGAGGGTGACGGAGCCCTGGCCCAGGCTGCCCAGGGAGGCTGTGGAGTCTCCTTCTCTGGAGATATTCCAGCCCCGCCTGGCCGCGGTGCTGTGCCCCCTGCTCTGGGTGACCCTGCTTGGGCAGGAGGTTGGGCTGGGTGACCCCCAGAGGGCCCTGCCAAACCCCACCACGCTGGGATTCTGTGATTCTGTGAAATACATGCATGCAAAAGGAGGATGAACTGGGCTCATGGGGCTTCTCCCACCTTCGCTGCCACGTGCGTGCTCACTGCTGCACCGTACCCAATTCTCTTGCATGCAGTACAAGCAGGCCAGCTTACAGTTTTGGTAAGAATTAAAATTACCCGCAGCTACTTGCCTGTAGCCTCTCAGCCTGCAGTCTTGTGCGCCCCGCTCTCCTCCCGTTCCCCTCCAACTTGCCATCTCCTCCCCAAGAACCTGCTGTCTCGCAGCAGACAGCCCCGTGGGAGAGGGCGTTGCTCTCCAGGGCCCCTCTGGGTCATGAATGGGGGGCTCTTTTCCAGCGTGCTGGCTGCTGCACAGAGGTCTCTTCTCAAACCTGAGCCCCTCGTGAGGATGCTGGGCCTCATCCAGGCACACCACAGCCTCGACAGTTAGCGAGCACATAACTGTGTCAGTATACAGAGAGGGAGAAGCGGAAAGGTGACCTTAGCAAAGCTACATTCCATCTAAAACAGCTCACTACCACAAAAGTATGACAGGAGGACTACAGACCTACTCCTCGCTTGTTTTTCAGAAGTCTTTGTAATCTTAAGGAAAATTCCAGTTCCTGAATCACTCTCCAAACATCGACTGAACTTCCCTGGAAACGCACAGTAGCACTACAATTTTTACATCTCCTTCCTCGTATTCTGTCACCCAAACACAGAACAAACCCTTGCCTGATGCACGTAGCCCGGGCGAGCACCCGTTCTGCGCCCTGTTACACACCCGAGCGAGATGAGCGGGCCTCAGCTGGTCTGAACCAACTCAGTCGTCTCACACTGCAGTCTCTGTAATTCTGCAGACACGCAGCCGAGCAGTCGGAATCGGGGAGGACAATCTGAACTTGTTTGGAGAGACAGGCCAAGGGAGTAAGCGTCCTCAGCTAATTGCTGTACGGCTGCATCAGACAGGAGGATTCAACTTGCAGCAGGGTCAGCCTTAGTGTCTACGCCACAAGGCATAAGCAAATCCAAGCCCTAGCTGGAGTAAGTACTAACACAAGTACTAGTACAAGACAGACCACATGAGCTGAACTTGTCGTTCCTCCCTCTCCCAAGAAACTGCTACACAGCACGGAACAGTGGCAGAGCGACACGCCGCCGGTCACCAGCCGCCCCAGATAACACCGCAGCGCTCACCTCAACAGCTCAGCAAGCCCCCGCAGGTGAGCGTCAAGCAGACAGGCTGCGGTCGGGGGCGGCCCCAGCCGTGTCTTTGATAGCAGTCATGATAAGGCACCATCAGGTGCCCGGGCAGGGACACTGCCCATCGCAGAGCTCCAACTGCCCAGCGTTCCTCGGTCAGCCGGCCGTTCCGCCTTGCCCCCCGCGCTCCCGGGGCGGCTCGGGGCCCTGCCACCCCTCTCTCCCATCCAGCCGGTGCCGTCTGCCAGGGCAGGTGCTCCCTGGCTCTCCGCACGCCTCTGCTCGAGCGTTGCTCTGTGGTTTGCTGGTACCAGCCCTCAGTTTTCAGCAGTCACGCGTATGCAAGTACATTGCTGCTT